CTTACCAGTTGCCTGTATTCGAAGACAGCTACGATTCGTACTCGATATTTTAAATTATTATGTAATCGATTTTTCAGTACAAATTTAAATAACCAACGACACTAATAATGTACCACAGATAACATAATATTACAGTACTACTATATTCCGTTCTTTGAAACTATATTCCGTTCTTTGAAACGGACACTGCTATAATACAAAATAATGAAAATTTACTGTTCACAACGACTCATTAAAAGCATCATCGAGTAATGCGCTGTAATAAAATCCTGTTATCGATTATTAAAAAAAATCGATAATACATGTATTTATTTTTAATATGACAACACTTCATACATAAGTATTATTGGAAATAGTATTACTTGCTTGTTCGGCTATTTTTAATTTACTTAAAATTTTTTTATATGTTTAATTTACAATAATAATATATTTAGTGCTTATTATGGAAAATATAAAAAAGACATTTAATTAGGCCGATACAAATGACGACAATGCCATCTATGAAAGCATTTTGAAAACATTGAGCCCCGTATTAGCACTGATTAAAGTGTAATTAAGTACTGGAAAATAACAAAATGAGTAAATATATGAAAATTACTTTTCTAAACGCATTATTTCATTTTAACATGTATATATAACTTTTTAAAAATTGATTAAACATTTTTGAAAACACAGTTTTGTTTTTTAAAACGTTTGCAAAACTATGAAGAATTCCATCGATACCAATCACGCCATCTATATGCAACTTTTAGCAATAATAATGGCTACTTCCTCATTGAGTGCCACTGATATTAGTAACAATACATGTCATAAAACTTGTTTGACGTGTCGTCCGTGCGTTAACTTCCCTTGATATTTCTTCTATAGGTAACAATATGTTCTTTATTTGAAAATAAACATTATAAAATACGGAAGAATACCAAGGGTCCTCTGAAATATGAACATAATTTATTTTTAATGATTGCAATATTTTATTATTTTTATGGCCATCATTGACTGTTCTGATTAAAAGTATATAAAAGTATGTACATATGTTTATATGTGTATCCGAATTTCTGCGTCGCAATAATTGTTAAAAGTTCATGTAATTATATCAACTCTACATGATTATTACACAGATATTATCCTACTCAGTTTAGGTATCAGGGAACAATTTAAATTGTAAATATTGAATTCAAAATAAAAATTATTATTATTATTATCCTTACTAATATTATGACGTAAGTAACTCTGTTTGTCTGTCTGTCTCGCCTTCACGCCAAAACTACCGAACCGATTTCAATGAAATTTGGTATATAGATAGTGTAGACCCTGAAAAAATACATAGACTACTTTTTAATGCAAACAAATGGTTGTAAGGGGTTGAAAGGGAAGATGAAACGTTCTATTGAGGTATCGCCATTTTTAAAGCTTGATACTTATTTTTTAAGCTTTTGTCTATATATGACATTCAAATTTTGTACAAATTTTACCCTTAAGGGGGTAAAATAAAATAAGAGTTGAAATGGAAATTCCTCATTCGTCCTCTATTCATTGCGAACGAAGTCGCGGGCACAGCTAGTCATTATCATAAATCCAAATGGAAAAACATTATATTCGATCTTTTTAAATCTATACTCAGTAGAAATTTGTCTATGATATGATTTAACGTGTTCGATGTTAAGATATTTCCTTATGACAGATGAAATATTTAAATGTCATACTTTGTTACTGAATTACAATAGACAACGTCCATACCACGTTGAAAACACCGGTTCTCGTCCGATCACCGAAGTTAAGCAACGTCGGGCACGGTCAGTACTTGGATGGGTGACCGCCTGGGAACACCGCGTGCCGTTGTCTTTTTATACCTAATTCTAGAATTATGCTCTACTTATTCAGAGAAGTTTAGTGCTTATTTTTGTTATATGGTTTCTTATAATAATATTTAATAATAAAAAGCAGTCAGTTGTATACTAATGTTATAATTTCGAAAGAATCTCTGTATGTCTTTCCGTTTGTTTGGCTAACAACAGAATAGAACGTAAAATTTTATTTAATCCGAGTTATATCAGAATCAAGGAATACAAATGAAAAGTTTTTAATGTTTGAACAGCTATTGTTTCTGCTAAAATCTATAATTCGCATAACATATACCGTTAACTCAGGCGGGTGCTCCATCAATTAAAAAAAAATGCTGATCTTGATCTTGTATTAAAAATTACTGTGGATCCATTACAGAAACCATAATGGATCTTCAATTATTGAATTCCGCATTAGAACAGTATTGGAACTGGTCTTACTGTCCTACGTAAGCAACGATAATTTTATTCTTTTATGGATTGTAACGGAATGGTGCAACCACCTGTGCTGACGGTTTAAACTGGCAGGGCACCAGTGGAGGATGATGAGTATGAGGTCAGGTCAATTAGCCCATCGTGGTAAATTGACCATCACCAATGGAAGATGATGAAATGAGCGTAAAGTCAGGTCAATTAGCCCATCGTGGTAAATTCTCCATGAATTTATCACTATGGTTTTATTCACGATGGATGGTCAACCTGACATCGTAGGTACATTGCTAGCAATGTCTGTTCATGGTATTAGTCCACATTACAAATAATCCCCTTCCCCATTCGATATTTGAATAAAAGAAAGAAAGAAAGAAAGAAGGAAAATTGTTTATTTGGTACACTGAAAATAATTTTTAAAATTTAAATTACAATTTATATTAATAATTACATTACAGTACCAAATAGGTCTCCGCTCAGCTCATATACAATAAACATAATAAAATAATAATAATAATACACATACATACATAAATCCAGGCGGACAACACAGAGTAAACATTTGACAATGGAGAAACTGTTTCTATGAGTGATACCTTTTTTTTTTACATCATGAAAATCCTCATGGAGAACCATTCGCTTAGGGACGAATGGATACTGCCGGACTCATACAGCCTAAAAACCTGATGGCTATTCCTCTTCTACATAATCGCCGTGGCCATGGGATACGCAAGCATTCACCAAGACCACCGGCATGGTTCGTTCGAGGGGACCTATCTAGGCGTGCAAGGAATGGCCTCTGCACGCCACCTCCAGATCCTAATGCCTCCCCGGTGAGCTTCAGATGACCCTAACCATCCTTCACCCTAGGGTCTCTTTTTTTTTCGGACTACTCTGATACTGTTGGCCGCAGCTGGCCTTTACAGCTTCACCGGACGTTAGGGGGCGAGTGCAGATAGCACTCCAAATCCGCGGAAGGTCTTATGGAGCGGCTGAAGGCCAACTCCTGCCTGACGGATACGACTTTAGTCTGAGGGCACCACTAGGGGTTCGAATCTCGGCTCTGGCCGTCGTAAATTCGATCCCCGTTTGAATTGGACGGGGGATCGATCGGAGAGGCCTAGGGTCTCTATGAGTGATACCAGTCTTATATTAGAGAACCTAGTAGTTATAATTATATCTCAGGACAATTCACACATCTAGTCCCAAGCTATGCAGAGCTTTCAATCGATTTTGAGGATTCTATTTTTATTAAAAACTGATGCTTGTTATGTAATCTTATATATTGGATCAGTAGTATTGAATTTACATTAATAATAGAGTTTTTTATAATAGAAGTTTTTTAATGTCCTCAATTTTAATTTGGAATATATTTTTTTATATAATTAATGTGCCGTAAAATGCCGTAATTATGAAAAAAATCCATGTTTATGTTTATTCCATGCTAACTAATTAGATAACAATTACTGAAATGTGTATATTATTATATTATTTACCTAAGACTTAGATGTTACTTGAAAAAAAAAAGTTTTTAAATCTTATTTATGGTATAAATATTGTTAATATTTTTATGTATTTTTTGATAACGTAAAAACTCTTCTAAATTCAAATCAGAGTCTTAACACTATTCTGATAATCTAATTTTCAAATATCGTATTGCATATTATCGAATAGCTTGATATTGCTCACGTAGGTCATCTAAACAAGACGAGTAAATTGTTTAATTGTCTCGAACGGAATCGAACTTGCTAACCGGGTTACTGACCACCGCTACTCACAAGTGAGCCAATAACGGGTCTATCAATGGTCGAATTTTCGCTTAACTATGTTAAGACTGATCGGTAAATACTAAAATCATTATGAGACGATACATTTACAGTAACTACACAAATATAGAAGCCATAGACAATCCGAATACAAGTCGTAATTCGCTTTGTATAATATTCTCTCTCGATCAATTTAGTCCAAGCTGCTTTGTACTATATTTCTTGATTTTCTTTAAAACTGGAAAGGCAGAGAAGTAAGCCATACAGCCATCTGCCATTGGTACTTTTTGATATTTTTTTAAACTTCTGGAAAGACAAAGAACTAAACCATACAGCCATAACTGTAATTGTATTTATATTTTAAATATTTTCACGTTTTCTTATAATAGTTTATGTGAAATGGAAACAGTATATCTAGAAAATTATAAATTAAATAAGAAAATTACCTTAATTTCTTATATTTATATAGATTAAACAACAAGGGAAAAAAAATAATTTGTACCTACACCGATTTTTTTTGTTTACCTACTACCTATTTCTCTATACTATAATTACAAGAATACTAACAACTTGACGAAGTTACCTAAATTTTACATAAGTGATTACAATAAATTAACGCTTGCCACAAATTACTACCCTTCCACCCGCATAAAAAAAACATTACAACACTATGCTTTCATTGAGTACATTTTATTTTACTCAAACATTTGTCAATGACCCATATCTACAGCACGATTATCAACTTATCACGTGACCGCAAAGATAAGGCGCCAAAACAAAACACCGGTAGGCTGTACTGAAAAAAGTTGCCCCCAAAGTTGCATCTTTGCAACCGTTCCGCCTTCACAATAAAATTTATCATCTCTCTTGCACATTACGAAAACGCTCCGCGTAAGAGCGAGAAGGACGAACATGTGGCTACTCCCCAGGTAACTCGAAACTTGAAGTTATTCGAACGCGAGCTTTGCGCGGGAAAGCACGTTGTTCGATGCGCGCGACATTTTCGAAATTTTCGCCGGTTCCATTTTTGAAATATGAAAACTTGATTTCATATCCGCAATTTGTGGCTTTGTTTTATTTTTAATTCGTTTTACGTGACTGGAACACGTGTTGTAATGTGGCTGCGTGTGCGACTGTTGCAATCTGTGTGTACCGGGATCATCTTATTGTGCAATAAGGATTTCTAAGGACCCAAGAACGGTGAGTCGGACCGCTTTGACGGTTTTCTATAGAAATGGATACATTGATATTTATATGACATCCTTTATAACCATGTAACTAAATGTATGAGACCCTACGATACGTTATAAAAATGTATGAAAGAAAAACTTATGACATATTTTAAAATTACTTTAAATAATTTCATTAAAATTTAATATACGATAAAAAATATATATATAAAGTGTGTAAATTCTTAAACGAAATTACAAATATATATGTTTAAATATAAAATATATATGTAAGTTTGTCATGTTTTTTATATATGTAGTTTTACACTGTACCTACTTTACCTATATGGTGTACAAATAGATCGATTAAAGAATTTTATAATAATAATAAAGACCCAAGGCAACTCACACAGTGCCATCTAGTCCCAACTTAAGCAGATCTTATGCTTACTAAATGCTTATTAAACAATTAATAGAAATACTTAAATATATATATATATATTTCTAAATGCGTACATTCTATAAGTACGTATTTAGAAAAAAATATTAACTAATACAAACAATCTAGAATGAATAAAATAGTTTGTGTCTGTAATACCTACTTTACCGAGGATGTATATGATAATTCAATTACCAAAATATCTTTATAGATCGATTAAAGTTCGGAATGATATCGAGATGAGAAGAACTGACAAGAAACTCAGCTCGTAATTTTTTCAAATAATAGTGGAACATGTTTATGATAAATACAGTTTTATAATAATAATAGATGACCCAAGGAACAAAAAATTTAACAGTGTTCACACAGTGCCATCTAGTCCCAACATATTTGAGGGAGCACAAGCCCACCAGCCACAATCTTGACTGTTTCAGGTTACTTACGTCAATTATATTATTTACAGCATAGGCTGTACCGATCACAGTTTTCACCCATTACAATATTAAACATTATTTAATTTACAATATGTCATTACAAAATTTATAATAAGTTTCTTTATTGTTATTACATTATCCATGTCAATGGGAAAAATTAATATATATATATATATATATATATATATATATATAATAAGCTTTAGAGCAAAGTGCATGTATCTTAAATTTGGTACATTTAAAACACTCAATTTATTATAAAAACGTATACAATGTCCCATGAAAGATGTACTTACTTTTTTAGACGATAAAAAAATTTTTAACTAATACATTTAAACACATACATAATATTTTCATATATATATGAGAGGGAACAGTAAGAATTGTTTCTTTAAAGCGTTCTCTAAGAGATTCGCGACACGGTAAATTATAAATTGAACGAATTGCTCTTTTTTGTAATATAAAAATTGATTCTACATCACCGCTCTTCCCCACAATATAATACCATACGACATTATACTATGTGTCTGTTGCAGTATCAGAACTGCTAATTTTTCTGATAGCAAAAGCAGCCGAGGATGTATTATGCAATTTATTATCTATTAATATAACTCATCAACAAAGTCCAAAACTGATGTAATCGCACTTGTTTTACATTTGTAAAGAGAATTTAACACATTTTGTTTTCATTGAATTAAGCGCTAGATTATTTGATGTAAACCAGTTTAGAACATCCTCAAGAGCAATATTTATATTATTAAAATCCTTTGTATTTCTTTTCACTTTGAAAATAAGTGATGTGTCATCAGCAAACAATACTATGTCAAGTATGTTTTGAAACTGGTATGGTAAGTCATTTATATAAACAAGAAAAAGAAATGGGCCAAGTATAAATCATTTTTATAAAACCCCTTGGATCTTTAATGTCTAAAAATCAAATAATCCAATGAGTTCTGAGGATTTTTTTATTCATGTAATGCTCTGCGTAATAATATGGTCAACGCAATCAAACGCTTTAGAAAGATCACAGAAGACACCAATGGCATCTGTGAATCTTCCCAACGAAAATACTTTGTATTAAGTTAATGCCTGCATCAGTAGTAGACCGTCCACTCATAAATCCGAGAAATAAATCATGTGTATTAAAATGAGCTAACATTTGTAACAATTATAATATAACTTCACGACTGTAATCGCAAATGGGTTAGTTAGAGGTATCAACTGTCGACGCTACTGTTAGATACCCTAAGTATAGACTTATTTTAATAAATCAAAATCATCTTTAATGAACTATGATATATCAAACATGTTTACTGAAAAATGACAAGAAGCTCTTATTCATTTCAAATGAACTAGTACATTTTTACAAAAATACAGATTCGATTTTAAATTCAAATTAGAGTATAGTATTTATAGTAATAAGTATTTTATAAATAATTATCCTTAATAATGATTAATGTGAATGTAGGAATGTATGTTACACATTTACACAAAAACTACTGAACCGATCATCATGACATTTTGTACACATGTACTTGGAGGTATTAGAATGAACATAGGACTTTTTATTTTTATTCAATGCGTCCGAAGCCGCAGGTAAAAGCTAGTATAATATATATATTTTATATTTATATACAAAAATAGTCCTTTAAACGTTTCTGACGTTATTTTGATTTTTTTTACTGGATAAATATGGAACGGTGCACTCGTCTGCGCTAATGGTATTAAGCTACTGGAATACCCGTGGATGATAACAGAATGTTGAAGTCAGACTAGTTAGTCCCATCTTTGTGTTCATTTGATTTTTTTTTATGGAATGATGATGGAATGTACCCGCCTGCGCTAACGGTTTACGCTCGCGGGGCACCAGTGGAAGATGATAAAATGAAGATGAAGTCAGGTGAGTTAGCCCACCTTGACAAATTCTCCAAGAATTTATCATGATAGTTTCCAGCGGGAAACCGTGTGGAGGTCAATCTGACATGGTACATTGCTAGCCACTAGTTCCCATTACTAACAATCCCCTTCCCTCGGATGGATTTACAACGATAGGTTTCCCGAGGGCACCACGTGGAGGTCGACCTGATAGAGTAAATTGTTTGAAATAGGGCCTCAATTAGATTTGTTAACGATGATTACAATAATGAGTAGATTTTATCTTATCAAGACAAGAACTCCGTAACTGCAATTTTAGATCGTTACCTACTGAGCACATACTTAGTTTCTTAAATATTAAAGTACTTGTTACTCTATGTCGTAGCTACTCTGTACTACTGTGTTACCCAATCATGCATGCATAAAGCATTAAAGAACAATAATAATAATAATAAATTCTTAATTTCTTGTTACCATATCAATATTCATTTGTTAACTTATTGACAAGGAAATTTTATGTGCATAATTAACATTCATAAATTAAGTTATCAATTTATTCAGTATCTACAAAAGTTATATGCCATGTAAATATTCTGTGTAGCGACAGTGCAGTGATATTCAATTCTGCGCCTTGACCTAAAGCAATAAAATTCATAACGGTTTGTAAGCCTTGTATAAATAGTCATTGACTTTTGATAAGTAGCGGCATTACACTCCGTCCATTTAAAGTACAGTCAGCATATAAAATTTAATAAAAATAATAAATTATTACTATATTAAATACTAGCTACTCGCTCCGGCTTCGCACGGGTGTACATGTATTATATATATAAACCTTCCTCTTGAATCACTCTGTCTATTAAAAAAAAACTCTTCAAAATCCGTTGCGTAGTTTTAAAGATTTAAGCTTACATAGGGACAGACAGCGACAGCGACTTTGTTTTATACTATATAATAATAATGTAGAGGTTCTTAGCCTAGTGGTTTACCATTCCGACTTAGACGCCAGATAGTTTGAAACTGGGCGAATCTTAAAAATTGTGTGCCTATTAAATTACACAGAATCTCCAATAACGACTCAAAAGTAATGCGAGAGATGACCTACTGCTGTCTCGCTTACTCGTTATCACGGTGAATTCAAATATATTCAACGCGGGAAGGGAATTATTAGTAATATGAACTAATAACCCCATAACCCTATAGCAAACAATGTACCATGTCAAGTTTACCCTATGTACTTCCACATGGAAACCATCGTGGTAAATTGCCATTTGCCGAGATAACTGACCTGAATTCATGCTCATCTTATCATCCTCCACTGGTGCTCCAGCGTAAACCGTTAGCGCAGGAGTAGATCATTCCATTATCATCCATAAAAAAAATATACCTAGATATTCTTATATTATCTAACTTAGCCTAAGCGGACTCGCCTTGCATAGGTATTCCAATTAATATATTACACATAAAACGTTAACAAATTATGCACCCAAACCTTCTTTAGAAATCTCTCTATTCATATATGAAATTAGCATTAAAATCCGTTCAGTAATTTCTAAGATTATCGCAAACATACAGGCATATTATGCGGCGGAGTGATTTATTTTACAATACAGATGATTGAAACTGTCTTGTAAACTTTACATAGTATAAAATGAAGTCGGTTTCGCCGTCTGTTCGGTTAGATCTTTTAAACTACGAAACTGATTTTAATGCAGTTCTTTACTAGATATTAGATAATAGATAGAGTGATTCAAGAGGAATGTTTATATGAATATGTATATATCTAGCTGTTCCCGCGACTTCGTCCGCGTGGAATTTTATTTTATTTTTCTAAAATAAAAGTTACTCCTTATTACATCAGCTACCTGCCAAAAAAAGTCCCGTCTAAATCGCTCCAGCCATTACAGAGATTAGCCGGAACAAACAGATCGACAGACAGACAGACAGACAAAAATTATAAAAAATGTTATTTTATGTTATATAAATGTTAGTTTAAAAAACCGTTACTTCAATATTACAAACAGACACTTAATTTATTTATATTTATAGATTGTACACCGTGGATAGGATAGGTAGATATAGGAGTTAATAAAATACTTGTATTTCATCAGATTTCATGTTTATTTGCCAACCCTACCGTCTATAGAAAATTTGCACTCTCAACACCACAAAAAGCCTATGCAATCGAACATAAGTAGGTACTCCAGTGGTAACGAGACCACAATAAAACAAAGGATCACAACAACCACTTGGCTTCTCCTTCTCACGCACTTAAAATATCAG